AGTCATTTAAGTTTTAATTTAATAAATATTGAATTTAAAAAAAATTTACTAATGAAAAGAACAATGAATAAAAGTGATCGCAAATCCAGTATTTCATTGCTGTAGCGATGTGCGAATAAATTTATAAAATTTAAAATTAATTTACAAATAATTAAAAAAACACCAAATATAGTCGACGCTGAATTTTGATGTGTCTAATAATACTTTCATGTAAATTTTAAATACATCTTCCAATTAAATCGCGCGGTAATTACTGTCGTACTTGAAACGCAATTGACGGTCAATTTAATTTGTGATATTATTTCAGCTTCAGTTTACGATTGCATTTCAAGTCTAACAGTAATCGGCATACAGAGAGAAAGCGTATAACTAGAAGATGTATTTAAAATTTAAATTGAAATATTATTAGATATCAAGCTGTAGTCTCGACCATATTTAGCGTTTCTTCACTTATTTGTGTTAATTGCGTAACGGTCTAATTTAACTTGTAAATTTAGAATAAATGTGTATTAGGCCAAAAAAAGATTAGAAAATTTTAAGAGCTTATAAGAATTGAGTAATATCTCTAAGACTTTTCCATGCAGTTTATATAACAGTGATATGGAGCTCGAATATTAGAAAGCTGTGTAGAAATAGTTAAAATAGAATAAATCAATTTTCAATCCTAGAAAAGAATATTTAAATTCATCTAAATCTCTATTAAAAATAGATTAATAGTTTTCCAAAATTCCAAACTTTTGCTACTACATTTATTAACGTATATATAATAATAAAGGTATACACAGAGAAATAAAAAATTCAATCAAGAAATACGATTAAAATTTATAAATACAATGAGTATCTATATTTCACATTTTTTGTCCATATAATATCTAATAAATTACTATGAAATTTACTGAAAATTAATGTTATGAAAATAAAAAAGATTATTGTGCATATCGTTCTCGGTATTTAACATACAGAGAAGTATATATAAAATCTCAATGCTACCAAATGCTCGCAAACTTCTCTTTAACAAATCACATTTTATCTTTCAACTCGAAATAACTCAAATTTACGCTCCATTGGCCTCTACACAGTTTCCTATTTTTCTTTTCGCAGCAGTCCAAAAAACAAACGGTGCGGAATAATTCATCGCTTTGACGAATTTTTCGAAAAATATTCAGCATAGAAATAGTACACGAACACGTGAAATTGTTGCAATTTCAATTCCGCCCATTTGAACGGCATAACGAATAGTTGATTTTTTCTGAAACACACAACTCTATGTGTATATATGGTATCGGAAATATTCCTTTAAATCAGAGGCATTCCATGGATGTGTCAATTCTCGTTTATTTCGACGCATTTCTAGCTCCTCTCTGTTTACAGATGTCTAAAATATCGGCGTGAATCCATACAGACAATACAATCATTTAGCAATAAATTGCACAAAGAAATGAACGCGTTATATATGGTGGTAAGTTTTTGCCAATTATTAATATATATTACAGAGAAATTGTTTCACATAATCACTACCGAGTATTAATTCCTGATTCTACGCAACTTAGCAATTATGACGGTAAACTAACGGAAAACGCGTTGAATGGTCGCGAACGTTTCCCAGACCCACCAATGTGAATTCATTGTTAACGTATATCTCTCTGGACACGGCTCACCGCAACGGCGTCAAAGTAGTTTATTTGCGACGGGAAAGCTACTGCATGCGGAAGAACCAACAATGGCGAAAACCGGCCGAAACGGGTAGAAATATGTGAGAGGGGGAGAAAGAAAAAAGTAACGGGTCTCACCGCAAGAGCGCCGAAAAGTTTATTTGTTCCGTGCCTATCTACGGTGTAAACTCGAGTTTCTTTTTTGCATCCTCGTGTAACACCGTTCTAAATCTCGCTGTCAGTAATTATACGCGAATACTTGCACAAAGGACGGGGCGTTGATTTCACGACAATTCGACAACAGCGATCGATTATTCGATACACTATTAACCGACTTTGTGTATGTATATTCCGAAAAAAAGCGCTCATTAATTCTCGCATAAAGTGTTATCTAAAATCTATCGCTTGGACTTGCTCGGTTTGCTTCATAATGTCGCAATTTTTACTCATTACATTTGCAATTGTCCCGTAAACTCGAGGATTATTGACATCGCGATAATTCCAATAACGAGCCTGATTTGAATTCATCGAGGGGAAAAACAAAATGCGATAAAGATGAAATATTTCGCGTGACACTCCCCGATTTCCGCGTTTCTATAATTGTCTACATCTAATCCTTCCTAACAATACGAGATTGTAACCCGAAATATAATTCTTCCATTTTCATTTCGCACAAGTTTCTCGCTCTGCCACGAGTGGAGAGCATTTTATGGCATGCGCCGCATGCCCGTTGTTATATACACGTAAGTATTTTTTTTTAAACTACTGCTGAAAAATCTACACAACGAGACGAGAGAGTTCTCCGCGTATAAAGCCTCGGATCCTCGCGAAAGAATGCGAGGTCCCAAGGAACGCTCCTCCTCTCTATGCGGAAAGGAATCTCGAGGGTGAAGCGCGCCCGAGGCATCATCCGACATCGGGCACGTCGCTCGCGGCATCAGGAAGCTAAGTACATGTGCATATTCGTGCATACGTGCACGCATGCACGCGAGGTTCCTTAAACCGTATAATCCCGGGAATGTATTGGGTCAACAAAGAAGAGAGCTGGCGAAGAAGGGAGAGATCGAGTGCTCGTGTAAACTATCGCGTGAAACGTTTTCGTGCTGTTTACAGTGCTTGCACACTTGTGTGTGCTTATTATCCATAGAACGAGTTGAAAGGGGAGGAGGGGGGGGGCCAATAAGGTTAATGAGATATTACGTATAATATCGTGAGTATCTCACGTTGACTCTTCGGCGTTAAACATTAATGATGTCCAAACGATGATATTTCGTTCACTCTGTAATACGCTTTACTCTGTGATGGTATTTTCCTATCGTACGTCTCAAGTGGATAGTAACTTTTAGTACTGGCGTGAGTTGATATATAAAATGAACTACTTAAAAATTCCGATACGCGACGTGGATGTATCAAACGCGAAGAATCGCTTAATATTAAATTCATCGACTTCTCGTATGCCAAAATAGATGCCTAATGCATAATTTCGAAATGTCGTAAATCATCCGAATTAGCATTCTGATATGTTTTAAGAATATGAATGTTTTATCGACGGATAATACATATCCGATAATTCATAATCCGTTTTATATTATAAAAAAACATAGAGAAACAAGTTGATAAAAAACGAGATGTAAAAAAAAATCTGTAAAGGCACTTAGCGTTTTTCACGATTTTTAACTATTCGTATATGGCGAATATTATTGTTGTTATTAAGTTTGCGCGTCGATTTAAACTGAAATTGCAGAGAGTGAACAACCACCAGCAGCCAGAGATCTCGAGTTTGCCATTAGCGAACTACACGTTTACACACTTGTATTCGACTTGTATAACGGAACGCGATGCAGGTATTCATTACGCACTACGCTCACTATCTTAGGTATACCTTCACGTGAACTACCGAGGCAGGAGTCAAGAAACGTTCCGTGACTTGAACACGACCTCCATTAGCCTTTCTCGATCAGACCG